AAAGTTCATCTGTGCTTGTAGTTAAATAGTTCAGGGCTATAACTTTCTTCCAACGCAATAAGTACACTAGATACAACTTCTAACTGTACTGCAGAATTCCTCAGAATTTAAATTGAAAGCACATATTGCATTGCAACAGAGTTCAAGCTCTGAACAATGTTGGAGGAATTGTATTATAAATTACAGCATTTGAAAAGCAAGACAAATGCTTACACAATAGATGACAATTGGTTTATTTTCACAATTGATCAAATTGCTTTTCGGTTCACTTTGAGTCTATTTATACATACATGTAAATTGATTGCTTCATTCAATGCATTTCTTTTCAGATCTATTCTTGTCATTGGAGAACTTTTTCCATTAGATGCTAACTCAATTGAAAAGTAATCTTTGCTGTACATGTAGTTTTCAAGGGTCAGTGTTTTTGTTTTCATTCTTCCTTACCCAACCCTATGCAAGTATTGGAATGCCCCTGTTGAGAGTATCCTCTTTCCAGGTCTCTTATCAGTAATTAAAACATGCTTACAGGTAACTAATTACTGTGATTATGGTTGGACAAACTCTAGCCTGTTTTCAGGCTGGGTTACCATAGGAAACACAAAACTATAACAGCGCTAGTCCAGAAACAAGTATTTGGCTTCTATCAATAATGCCCAAAGAAAAGTCATTCTTTGTAATTTTCACATCTTTTGACACCTTTTTGAATACTACTAAGCTACACGCTCCATAAAGTTGCTGCTTTTTAAATGGAAAATACCCCTTTTTTTGCAGGAGGTAAACAATTTGGGATGTTGGATTTACATGAAGTCATGCTAATCCCTGTGTTGACAAGCTGCACTGGTCCAATGGCTAGCTTAAATACTGTGTTCTTTTCCTTTGTGTAACCTGCCCAATCTCAACAAAAAGGTGACTTGTTCGTGTTTGACTTGTCAGGGGAAGGGGACAAACATTCCAGTAACATAACCACCCCTCTTTATGTATTAACAGTCCCCGACTAGTCAAAACAGGCTTATGTGTTACACTACACACTTCAATAAACATATAGCTTGTTGCAAAAATAAAAGCTAACAGCCCAGCATGGCTTCTAATGAAGGTATTTTCCCTCAGACAAAGGGAAAGGCCGTAGCCTGTCATGTAGAACAAAGGTGAGTATAATGGGTCCACCTGGCTTCTATTGTTTAGTGTCCTGATACTGTGGTTCAGAGGAGTTCTGCCAAGGCTTTGTCATGCAGAAATCGATGATCTAATGAGATAAGAAAGGGTTCCTGAATAGAAATCTTTGTTTATCTTGTGTTGTTTTACCTGAATGATACATCAATGTCTCTGTGTACAGCACATAACATGGTCATCCTGAAGTAGGTACAAAGCTACAGAAGTTTGATTTCTGTGCCATTGCTTGCCAGCAGCACTCCGTGATCCTCTCTGTACACGAAACAGGTGTGAAAGTGACAAGTGAAATCCTATAGCCTCCTGTCATGTCAGATAATGACTTTACACCAGGGCACACTGCATTACAAAGTTGACATTTAGCACAAGGGTCCTTCCATTTTACAACTTGACTGGAGGTAACAGACAGGGATTTTATGTGCTTATCAAAGTTCTTTGGTTGGAACATCCTCCTTCCATCCCCCCCTCCCAACACACATATAATATTTTGGGGATGTTTCATTGTTGAAAAGGGGAGAATCTGAGAGCAGTAAAAAATTCAATGGCAGAAATTTATTGAACTCCCCCTTTGTTTGGATGGGAGGGCTGTGGGCAGGGTGTGGGGAGTGATCCTATAGTTTGATCTTGTTAGTAATGACTTCTGTCATGCTAATGTTCCAAGGTCAGACCTTGACTCTGGGGTCTAGCAGGTGTGGGGTGAGAAAGACAGATGCAGACAAAGAGACATTCAAATGGGGGTCAAACATTAACACTCAGAAGGGGATTAATGTTTTCCTAATCTTCTTTTAATTCTTGTAGGAAATATAAGAAATTTTCTTGCCATGACCACAGGACATTAGTGGTACATCTTCAAAGACATTCCAGGCCACTTTTTGTCAGCCATCTCTTCCTACCTCGAGGCAAGAATGGCAGGAAATGTCACTCCTTTTATCAGGCTCGGGCTACACTGAAGGTGAAAATGGTCTATTATTTGCCTCCAGCCAAGATAAAGGATTTTCTTTGTCTCGCTTCACCTTAAGGTTAAGACATCCTGTTGTGATTAAAGTCTTAAGGTTCCTAGATGTTGACTAGGTGTTCTGGAAGCATCAAGCAGAAACATATCCTGGGGGGATGCAGTATGTAAATGACTGTTGAAATGATTTTAGGAGAGGAATACAAGGCTTACAGCAAATCTATCATTTTGTATAAATGAATTATTGACAAGAAAGCTGGTAAATGTCACATTGTCTCATGTAACTACAGATGCATTTTTTGGAGAACAATTCTCAATCTAAACGAACTTTTCCATTTTCCCCAAACTGCCGAACTCCCTAGACAATTCAGAGCAATAAAACTTAAAAGCTATTTCGGGTGAATAGCCCTCTCTCCTGCTATTACTATGTTCATTGCTATCTAACCATCAGCAATCGTAACTTACCCAAGTACTGGTACTTGTAAGTCAGTGTGCTAAAGGTTAGCTTAGTCACCACATTCTTGTGCCATTTCCTGCAACAGTGGTTAGATTAGAACTCATTTTCCATGACTTGAAATAACCTTTGTAACCTGAATACTTGTCTTGCTGTATCCAGGCTGGTTGTCCAACCTTCCCAGCTGTTACTGCTGGTGTAATTCCCTGGCCACCCATTCATTTGACTAGAGAGGTTCTCTGTAATTTCCTCATATACACCACAGTGCCACTGCCAAGGTCACGGGGCTTTGCTCCTGTAAGACTCAATATGCTAAACTGTAAGATACACGGATAGGCTTTTTCTGCAACCCTGATAAAAGCTCAAATGCAGCCTGCACTACACTAGGAGGAATTGTGAGGCACCTTCTCAGTGTTTGGCAACCGCATATTCACTGTCCCTATGGGAGCTGCAGTTACATACAGAGCACTTTGTTTATATCCATAACATGGGACCACCACTTTACAATGATATCATTCTTGCCAAGTATCAGTGTGGTAAAAGTCACTCAGTGGCTATGAAAAAGGGCAAATGAAAAACATTGCCTGGTGAGCTGCAACAAGACAACAGAGACTTGGCAGCTAAAAACAGGTTTGGTCACCAGGCTATGAAAACCAACCAAATCAAAAATTTTACAGTGTCCATGAAACATCTAAAGTGGCAGACAATATCTGTAATGGTCTCGCTTTACAGCATTTGGTTTTTCCAAGAAAATTTCTTTGTTCGCCCAATTGCATTTATTCATGCAATTGCGTGCTGCCTGTGATGTTAGTGAAACGCTGCCCTTTCTTTGAGTAGTTAGGCAGAACGCTTGATTGATCTGGAATGAAAGGATATGCACAAGAAACTACAATCAAAGGACGGGATTTGAAAGCATTTTCATGAGTGACAAGTAGAGAATGAAACAAGGCACAGGAGATAGGCAACATTGGAAATGAAAACAATAGAAATATGCCAGACATGTTGATAAGTCTATTCCCTTTCAACAAAAGCAAACTGCTGTTGGAAAGAAATAGTTTCTTGGAATTACTACATAGTACATTCAATGATTTGATCATTTGTTTGGAAAGGTGGTAATCATGAACTAAAAATGGTGTCCAAACAAAATAACTGTAGGTCTTTTAACATGTATACACAAATGGATAGCTGATAATGTGAAAATTGATACCTAAGAGGTGTGGCTGAATGAGTGTTATCTTCATCAATCTTTTACACTGAGTGGAGAAGATAATAGAAGAAGTACTTTTCAGAAAATCCTTCCAAAGGCCAGGACACATACATTTAAAAAGGCAGTAAAGGCTCTTTGTGTTTCCAACAGAAAAATCACTGTTAGTCCTCACTCACAGGCCTTTCAAAGTTTGGTAACAACAGTTAACTGAATTACCTTGGCCTTTCAAACACAACACATTCTAACAGTATGAGTTTTGGCAGGATATGCCTTGTTTTGCGGCCACTCCACTTTGTGGGTGTAAGGTTACTGGTGGGGATCACAGACTAATGTCAGCACTCTCACAGATACTTGTCAGACACTGGGCTGCGAAACAGAGATTTACATAAACAAACCCAAACATAGACATAATACTTTTTTCACAGTACACATCAACATGATACTCGGATTACAGCGTGGTCTATTGTACGTAATTAGGTACAAAATGACACTGTGTAGTCATTTCTGAACAGGATAGTAACAAAATGTGCCAAACGGGTCCTTTTTGTACCCAGCAGACATAAGTAACTCCCCCCACCCTTGCCATGTCTGGTATGTAGTGTACATCCCCTATACAAAGTTATACCAAGCAGAACAACCCTAGCCTCTAATGACCTTTGCACTCTGCGTTTGACTCCCAGTGTCAATTCTAATGATCTAGAAAGCCAGTGGAAAATCAAATTACGCCCTCAGCTCAGTGCTTTGTAGCTGCAGACTGCCTTCCCATTTGAACTCAGGCTTTCGATCTCGGAGCATAAACCCTTCTGCAAAAATTTATAACTCATAACCACCACATCAAGAGGTCGGCATGTGCACTGATGTTAACACCTCAAAGACAGCACTGCGTATATGATCATGATCCTACATGTAGAATGTATGATGATGATAATGTACACAGTAGGCAACAAATTTGTTTCTTGCCATACCGGGACATACTTCATGGAAACAATTTGCACAGGTTATCATTACAAATAGCAGTTAGACTATATAAAGGATGTGATATGCATTTGGTAACTCCTTGATTGATGTGTAATTAGGTGAAAACAAACAACTGAATACATCAGGAGTCAAATTCCTCTTAAATCACCCCCCAGTTTCCCATGAAGTAATGCTGATAATCCAGCTTGAAATGTCTATGGAGGGATGACTGACAAGTCAGGTGTACTAATTACATGACTTACCTCCCACTTTATAGCTGACACCTCCGACAGTCCAGGATGTTATTTCCGGCTGGTTTCGCAACCGTCTCTTGGGTTTCTCCTCCCTGGTTTCCTCAATGGAGTAGCGTTTTCTCCTTGTTGTTTCACGTGGCTCCATCTCTTGTTTATTGCCTTCCTCTCCCATACTTTATCGTGCTCACTCCCGCTTTCCTTCAGATTATTCCCTCGTGAGTAGGCGCACCGGTTAGATCATTTTCTGCTGCAAACGGATGAGTATTTCTGAGAAAACTGGCACCAATTCCTTGCCTTGTTGCAGGGACCTGGCCCTGTCCCTCATTCCATGATTATAGCTGTCCTTTTCAGTTACCGCAGGTCAGGCCAGCACACTGTTGGACTGTCAATGAGGAAGAAATCTGGCCTCTCTCTTATCTCGTATAAAGCTTGGCTTTCTCATGCAATGATGTCAGCCGCAGTTAAGGGGAGTATGTCGAGTAACAAGTATTTAGTACGCACCGATTTTCAGGCAGTCCAGAGTGAGTCAGGGCTGTTTTGACTTCCTCCTCTGCCAGTGTAACAGGCAACAACCAGTCACGCTGCTTGTTCTGGCAGTTTTATAGCAACAACAGAGGGTATCTGGGACCCATTTCAGTAGGTGCGTGCCCCAGAACAGATCCCTGTATCAAATAGATTGTCCACTGTAATGGTCTCTCTTTCTGCCTGGTCTGTGTCAGTTGTCTGGCAGCTCAGATTGAAGAGAAGCTCCACCCTGAAAAACAAATAGGAACAAAAGGGTTTAGGGATTTCATGTAAATGGTACAGTAGCTTTAGTTTAAGAGATATATTCTATAAAGATGATAAGGCTGATCGGTAATTATAAACTACCCAAGCCGCCTGACTCTGGTAGGCTAAAGAATCTCTCCAAGCTTTGTTTTCACAACACACATGCCACATGTACGCACACCCTTCCCAGCTTACATCAACTACGCCATATTTCGCGTCACTAACACCCTTTTTCTGCAAGAGAAACATGGCTGAATGCTTTGGTAAACTTGAGGAAACCAAAACAACAGTGCAGTAATCCTTCCTTCCCCGGGTGATCACCTCCGATAAACTCTCCTACCTTTAATTTCTGTCCAACCTGATGATCAATATCAGTGGTGTACGCACAGCCACGTCACGGGACACTCATCCGTTACTGAGTTAGTGAGCACTTACGCTACATACGTGAATAATCCAAAAATGACCCGAATAACATGGGAAGCACTGTGACCCTTTAACTGCCCAAATCTTGGCCATTGACAACAATACCTTCTGAACACCACCCAAGCTACCTGTATCCTAAGTAATGATCACTGCAACCAGCCCACAAAGGAGAAGCTGAAACAAGGGATTAGGTTGGCATAATCTCTGATCACGAAGAGTATTAGGTAGCAGACTGAACAAACAAACATAAAGCCAACACACCCAAGCATATAACCTTCAGCTGCAGCAACCTGGAGAAAGAGACAGTGTTTGATGCACAAACAACCAGTATTTACTGGTGCCGCAACACCTTTGGTTCCCATGCACGAACCAACAACACAGCCTACCTACAGGATGTCTTACGGTTAACCAACTGTAGCTAAATTATGGCAAGGCAAAGAGATTACCGGTACTACACGTACCACCAGGAATTCTTCTGATGTGGACTCAACACAGTCCGAGGCTTAGCACTGGAGATGATACTTACAGCAATGTTTAATTCATCCCAGTCATTGCGATCATTAATTATGGCACGTCTTTGTTACAGACAGAACATTGGACATGAGCATGCAGGGCAGCTGTGAGACAGAGACGTGGGTAACCTTTGAGGAACAGAGATGTTTCACAGCTGGCAAGGCTCCATGCATTCCCTGGTAGCTCACATAACCTTCCCTCCCTAATCAATGTGTATCTCCAGCCTCCCAACTAAATATCTAATGCTGTATCACATTACATGCATACCAAGACCCTCCTGGTTGTTCAGCGCACTTGTCACACGCTTCGATCGCCCCAACAATCTGCCCTGCACTTTGCAACACCCGTTGCACTTTGCTGGGTTACAGGCGATGCTGATCGCATGTGGCATTCTTTCGCCTGCTGTTTCCCACGAACAATCAAGCAGATCATGCTCCAGTAAAGAGCCTTAACCCCAGGGCCCGGCGCAAACAGTTCCACGCCACGCCAACCGTAACTACCAACACTGCCACCGAACAAAGCCTCCTCCCTTCTCAGGAAATTTGCAAAACCAGACAATAATTCATGATATTATCTATCTCACCCCTGGGATCATTTCATCAGTTAAATCCATTCCCTGAAACAAAATTCTCTCTTTTCCAACTCTACTTAAGCACAGGGACTACAGCACTGTCCCCAAGAGAGTAATTACTACTACTGTAACAACAAACCTAACACAATATTCAAGGCACAGTACTATGTAAGTTTACAAGACAGTTTAAACTGCTTGATAGGCAAATTGATGGATTATTTGGGTACTTAACTGTACCATACTCCCAATGTCCCTTGTTTAATATGTTCAACCATAGCCATCGGATATCCATATTCAACATTCACTGCCTATAAGTGCATCGGCAATATAACTAATAAAGAAGTCATCCAAAAAATTAATGCAAGCCCATTCTTTCTCACTTGACATATAAAGAGGGGACTCCATCAGCATATTAACATAATCATTATTCAAAGAACCCGGCAAGGGGTGACAGCCTAGCATATACAGCTGTACAGAAGTCATAGAAAATCTATAAACCCCCATGATTTTCTAGCTTATAGTGACACATTATAAATGGCTTCTATGCAAGTCCATCCCTGTGCATTATATGCATTATCTGTTATATTGGGAATCTAATCTGATCTGGAATGCCTAACATGTACAGCATCACAGATCAGTTAGGCAGGTCATGTTATCTCTCACTCATAAACAAAGCAATTTGACTAATCATATTGAGAGTCACATCATAATTTTTGCAGTGTTATGAATGCATTTTAGGCTATTGAACTTGAAGTTGAAGTGGATGGCAGTCAGAAGACAAAATCTGACATTCATCTTCATTCTAAACTTATCACATGTTCACTTTCCCATGATTCAAATCAACTGTAGTCAATAAACCAATCACTATAGATTAGGTAAAGCATGTATAGCAGAATTTCACTTTAAAAAATGCTTTTCATATACATACATGAATAAGCCATATACATGTATTCATCTTAAGAACAGACCACTGTGATGTCATTTTAAGACGACTTCTGACCTGAATGGAAAGATGGGTTTCCAAAAGGGAAAATAGAGGTCAGAGTTCAAGAGATGAGGCTACACAATAAACTAAACTACATTACCTGGTAGTTAATAAACTAGATAAAAAGATAGCGTAATGGTCTAGACTCAATTTACTACATTCCCTGGGCTTGGGCTTCACCATTTTCATTCAATCATTACCTATTTCAGGTCTGTAACAAAATCTCTCCAATTCCAGATCAGAGTATTAGTATTTTCATAGGCACATGTCTAAGTTCTCTCTCTCTCTACCATGTCTGAGGTCCACTTTCACCCTTGCTTCAACTTTAAGATTTTCTTTAGTTACAAACCTCCTATCAATCACTGATAAAACACTGACTTGCTTAATCCTAGATGAAAGATTGCTTAAGTCCTTTTGCTAAGGTGTTTTCCATGTACGTCAACATCTAACAAACATAAAAGACACATCAAACAGTCCCCAGTCACACCTGAAACCCATTTCTTCCCTGGCTCCATTCCAAGAGTGTTTATTCCTAAACTATGGTTACCAACCTCTGAATGATGACCCACTAAAACATCAACATGCTTCTTGAGCCTCTACACAACAAAGACATTCCTTCCATGAAGAAAAATTGCTGCCCTTATCACCATGAGTGGGGTAGTAACTAAGGCATTTGCTGAGAGAGTGCCCAAAATGATTGATTCTGGCAATGGTTACTAGGAAACCCTTCAGTGATGAAGACATACGACCTATCAGTTATTTGCCAGGAGATAAGAATCACTCCATAGTGGCATGGCAAATGTTTATGCACTTAGCAGCACCCAATCTATATGTAGCTGGATATTATACATGTTCAAAATGACATTTTAATAGAATTCCTTCAAATAATCATAGCAACAGAAATATTAAGTATCAGAGGTTAATTGCAAAGCCTAATAGATACAACAATGTCTTCCATAGCTAAACTGGTTATTGCGACATTAGCTTGTTGCTAAATGTATCTTACACAAACCGGCACTAGCATACCAGCATTGCTTGACTTGATTAATGAAGTAAACTCATATTTTCACGTGTGACGGAACACTATGTTTTGTTGAAGAGTAATTAGAGCAGACAGCTATTACCTACATGTCTCCGGCTTTGTAGCAATGCCTCCTGATGTCCCTAGATACACACTACAGCAGCAGTTGAGTGCATATATTTATACATAGACCGGATTTCTACATAATTCCCACTTGTATCAAATAAAACTGAACAGACAAAGTGCTTGTTGTCAACTTCATTCATGCTTCAAGCCAGACGTCTCCCAATTTGGCAAAATGTCAGACAATGCCTATCTGATTATTGCTCAATGATCCAAAGGTCGCAGCAAGAGAGACAATACGCAAAAATCAATGGCAGCCTGGGTGACCGTAGACCCTGAAATATAAGTCTAGCTAACTGACCTTACCTTACATAAAGTTACAGTGATCACAGATGCAGCTGTCGTCTGGCAGACAATCTTATCACCAAGCTCCCATAAAACCATGAAGTACGTATTGACTTGTTTGGCAACAATTAGGAGCCCTATTATGTGCACTGTCAGTGTAGTGAAAGCATCTGCTACGCATTTACCTTGCCTCATGTCATTCCCTCCTCAAAGCGAGGTATGCTCCATCGCACATTATTGCCTGCAGTAAAAAACACACATAAAACCGTCCTGACATCCCTGTTATATCTCACTAACACCCTCTTCTACACTTACCGTTTTTCCGTGAAGCCAAACAAAAAGGTAACCCCACGCCGACCATGTGGCTCTGACGGTATTCAAAACCAACCCCCATAATCCCAGCGGCATCTTCTGGATACAGACATCCCGTTATGGTCCAAAGGATGCTTAGATAGCGTCGTCAGAACCATTACACTAATCCTTCATGATACTGGGAAGTAGCAGTTGCCTCCGGTCTACAGAACAAGCACTAAAAGATCATCATGTGGAACTTTAACATTGACCTACCTCCCGCACTGCCTTGTTGGGAGAGATTACAGTTCCGAGGAATATTAAGACTTGCACCAAATGCCATTTGGCATGGAGAAATGTCATTCCGTGTTGACCCCCTTATCTCTGTGCTGAAATGACATGCAACAACCCATCCACCATCACAACCGATTACAGCCAAGGCTGCGTCTTATCTGCCTTTGAAATATTAATAAGCAAATAATGTAGTTTGAGCACCCCTGTAATCTGGTTTGTGTGTTATCATATTAGGGATTGTTTCAAAACTGCAGACATAAAACTTCCCTTGTATCTGATACAAATTACCCTCGCTTTAATGCTTTTTCACACAGATATGACTGTGAAAATGTTATCCTACGTGACTGTTTGAGTATAAATTGATGCGAGGATTGAAGATAGCGTGCATTTTGTCACAGCTCCTATATAACCAGTAAGACAATGACAAATCATCCCAGTGATGTTGTACATCATCAGTTGTGTCATGATTTATGCTGCATG